TCTTTTTTTATTTATCATTGTTCCTAACAAAGAAGACATTCAGATTGGTCCGCTTAATTTACAATCAATCCTAAATGCGACGATAATTTAATCGATTGCAAATAAAAAATTCGACATAATACAAATGCATTAACAAGAGAAAGAAAAAATACAAATCGTAAGAGAAACAAAAGCTAAAAATCGTAACATCATAAACATCATAAAAAAGTAATGAAAGTATGATTTACGATATACGAGAAAAGGAAACGTTTTCGTATAACGTGTTTTAATTAATTATTAATCATTAATATAATCAAATACTTTTACGTTGATTATACGATCGAACGAAGAAAAAATTCGCGAGCTCTTGACACGTACTCTGTCACGTTGTCCGACATAGGATAGACTAATTACGTTACATCTATCCCGACGCGTGTTACGTTGTAACGATGTCAGAAAGAAAGAAAGAAAGAAAGAAAAAAAAAACAAAGAAAAAAAACGAAAAATATATAATAAATTAATTTTTTTTTCCCAAAAGGGAATACAAATATCTCATTCCGATGTACCGCCAGAAGATTATCTACGAGGAATACGTCGAAAAATATAATTCTAATGGATAAAACAATGCGAAAAAACAAAAACAAAAAAAAAAAGAAAAAAGAAAAAAAGAAACATGAAAAAGATGGGAAAAAGTAATTTTCTCATTCAAGGAAAATCGAAAAGATTTTCTCGGACGTTTGGGCATTAGCATGACTCCGCTTGGAATTCAATATAAACGCTCGAGAGGAATAACGAAAGAAAGGGAAAAGGGAAAAAGGAAAAGGGAAAAGGAAAAGAAAGAAGAGGAAAGAAAGAATAGAAAGAGATACTCACTCTCCGGACAAACAGAGTTGAGGGTGGATGGGAAAATGGAAGGATGGATGGACGGATGGATGGATGGATAGATAGATGGAGAAAGAGAGAGAGAGAGAGAGTGGCGAAGAAGAAGAAGAGTGAGGGGATGAAAAAAATAAAGAGAGAAAGAAAGAAAGAAAGAAAGAAAGAAAGAAAGAGAAGATCCTCTTCGGCGACACAAAGACGGCCGACGGCGACGTCGACGCAGCCCGCTCGACCTCGATATTATAATGGAATTCGTCGACGGAGCAGAAGTCGTTTTCCCTTTCCAAAAGAGCACGTCGTCGTCGGGCCTCCTCCTCGTCCTAGTCGTCGTCGTCGTCGTCGTCGTCGTCGTCGTCGTCGTCGTCGTCGTCGTCGTGGTTGTAGTCGACTGGTAGAGACGGAAACCGATAATAAATCGAAGGATTCGAGCAAACATAATGGAGGTTTATCGCGGTGTCGGTGCCAACAATGGCGTCCTCCTTTTCTCTCTTTTCGTATCTCTCTCTCTCTCTTTCTCTCTTTCTCTCTTTCTCTCTTTCTCTCTTTCTCTCTTTGTCTCTATCCATCCGTCAGTCAGTCAGTCCGCCTATTTCATTCTTTCGTTAACTCTTTTCATCCCTTAAACCATCCTCCTGACGAAAGAGCTCCGATTTTTCGAACGCGGATCGTCTTTAATTAAGATCTTCCCTTTCAAAATTTCTCTCTCTCTCTCTCTCTCTCTCTCTCTCTTTCTCTTTTTTCTCTCTGTCAATCTAACGTTCTATCTTTCTTTCTCTAGTTTCGTTCAGGGAAAACCCACCAACGGGGTATATTCGGATAGAAAAGCGAAAGGCAATCCTTCGATAAACCGCGTTTCAAAGGAAACTCGTTAAAGGCAATCTTCGACGGCGATCGAGACCCGTCTCTTTTCGATTTCGATTATTTAGAGGATTTACGGCGCATTCTGTATTTCGAGGCTTTGTAAATAAATTATTCTTATTGTGTTTTTTTTTTCTTTTATATATATATATATATATCGCACGAGCGACATAAAACGAACGAAGCTTTCCCCCCTGATCGTTTAATTCGAGAGAGAAGCTTTTTAATGCGAAGGGAAACATTAAATAAAATAAAAAAAAAAGAAGAAAAAAAAAAAAAAGAAAAATAATAATAATAAAAAAGAACAAACGAAAAAGAAAGGCCATAAAAAAGTTAATGATCGACGAAAAACTAATGAGAGGAAACAAGAAAATATACAGGATCCTAAATACGTTCGTGGTTTTCGGGTTAAAACGAAGGATATTAAAATGGCCGATCATTGTCGATTCGAGCGTAAAACGGCAACCCAATTAAAAAGTTTCCTAGGACTTGCTGTTTGGGACGACGGTTACAGTATCCTTCTACGCAGAAAAGGAAGGAAGGAAGGAAAACAACGAGAAAAAAGGGAAAAAGGAAAGAAGAAAAGATGGAAGGAGAGTAAGAAAATGGACACGGGACAAATCGGAAGGTAAAAGACCGTGAAATGTTTTTCTCTTTTCTTTCTCAAGGATATCTTCGTGATAAGGGACAAAAAGAAGGAGTAGTAAGAGACAAAAGAAAAAGGGATAGAAGATTTCCTGAAACAATAGGAAAAAGAAAGAAAGGACTACCAACTGTTAGACAGTAGAAAGTGAACGTGGCACTTTTGGAAGGGTAGATAATTAGACAAGAAACACAGAGAAATTCTCTATCTATCTATCTAACTATCTATCTATCTGCCTCTCTTTCTCTCTTTCTCATCTTTCTTGAGTCCTTTCGCGACTCATTTCGACCTAAAACTTCTCTCTCTCTCTCTCTCTCTCTCTCTCTCTCCATCTCTTTCTGAACTTTGTCTCACGGGCCTGTATCCTCCTTAATTAAATATAAACGCCGGCTTACCTCTGCTTCTCAAACCGTACTTACCCACACCCTACCTATACTATCCTCCTCCTCCTCCTCCTCCTCCACACCCCTTATTCCTTCTCTTCCTCGTAATCCTCCTATTCCTCTTCTTCCTTCCTCTTACTACGAGATCCACCATCTCGTCCCGGTTACACATCCTTTCGTGGAAGAGGTAAGCACGTACCAAAGTCCCGCGACTCGTTTCCCCCATTTCTCCTCTAACCGTTTCCACGCAATTACTAGTCCTCCCTGTGTCTCTGCGCGTACGCTAGAGAATGAAAGCGAGTACCAGCGCTGTTACTGCTGATGATGCTTCTTCGGAGGGAATGACAAGGGTTGGTAAATGTATACTACCGATGCACAATGTCTCCAGACCAGAATTGTAATTCTATTGTATTCGAGATCCAATTTTTTTTTCCTCCTTTCGTTTCGTTTCGTTTCGTTTCGTTTCGTTTCCTTTCAATTCCTTTTACTTTATTTTGTTTTTACCGTAAAAATTAAAATTGAAAATGTATAAAATAAAAGTAACTTAAAAGGAATAAGGGGATAAAATTTTAATCGAGTTATCAAAGAAATTTTCAACGAGTATCAACTAGTTTATTAATTAACAAAGAGGAATTTTTAATTGATATTTGATGTTGAACGATGGATAATTTAATTTTCTTTTTTTTTCTTTTTTCTTTTTTTTTTTTTAAATCGATCTACTTGGCTCCATGGAAAGAGCATCAGTTTCTAACTATTTTTTAATTATTTAGCAGTTATAAAATATAAGATCACTTTTTTCGTAATGCGCTCGCTTGATGTTTTGTTACTTTTGTTTCTAAATTTGGACGACGATTGTCGACTAAAAATGTAAATAATGAAGTACCATAAAAATAAATAATAATGTGAATAAATAAGAATGCATTAAATTGATTAAGAATAAAATTTCTTTGAGGCGCTGTAGAAACGTGTACGTGGCTCCAGCTATATGGTTGTTCCTACAACTCACAACGGAACTCGTAAAAATCGATAAGTTATCGACAGTACGAAGGAATACCGAATGTCGATATTACTGAGAAAAAATAATTCGTAGGGTTATTTTATAGTTTTCTATTTTACCGACGTACGGTAAAGTACGAAGTATGATAGAAAATGCGAAATTGTTTAAATTAAGTTCAATATATTTAATTCAAAAATTATGTTAACGCAGCCATTTAGCTCGACAGTACTTTCAAGTTAATTATATCTTATTAACGCGACGTTGAAAGTAATATCGATGTTACAGGTCTCATTACACAGAAATTGCTGCATAAGGAGATGCATTTTTATTAAAAAATTAAAATATAATAATTAAAAAATATATATATACATATTTTCTATATAATCAATTTATATGTATATATATATATATATATATATATATATATATATATATATGGGCGCAAAATAATACCATTTTATTACAATAAAATCCGAAAATTATATTCATCGCATAGAAACAAAAAATTGTAATAAATATGATATAATTAATAAATAAACATTTGTAAAAGTAACAGAAGAATCTTACAAGTATAAAAATTCAAGACGAAATAAATGACGATCTTCTTTTCTCAGGAAAATGTCACGAATGTTGTTTGATTAGTTAATTAGGTTATTCGACTTGATATAAGTATTAATTCAGAAAAGGAACGATTATGAATTGATTTTAATTATAGAAAAATCTTTCGTATATATATAAAAAACATGGCTGCAAAAACTGCAAAGGCTCACGCACAACATGCGGCGAACATTGAAGTAGCAAGTCTTCACGTTTCCTTACCTCAGATGTTGGATCTTGCTCTGGGAACACCGGAAGTTAGCTTTTCTTAATAATAATAATAATAATAATAATAATAATAATAATAATAATAATAATAATAATAATAATAATCTTATTTAAATATTTGTTCTCTTTTTCTTTTTTTTTCCTCTTTATAAAATCAAATAATACGTTCGTTCATTCATCATTGGCTTTTCTCTAATAGGTCGGTGCGATTAACTTAAACATTCTTCACAATTTTCTTCACGTTCTATTGCATCAAATTAATCTGAGAACAACCAAGGTCGAATATAGAGGAGAAGATGCCAAACGAATAAAAGTCCGATGTTTTTCTTATTTTTTCCGTTTCCTTTTTTTTTTTTTTTTTTTTTTTTTTCATTAAAATTGAAACAATGTAATTAATAATTTTATTATTTCATACGTTGCAATTAAATTACAGACAATGGTAGCTTCGGCTAAAGCTGGTCCATCGTTGCATCTTCACGAGTACAGCATCACCGACGGTACCGATAAAGTGAAACAACGTATTCATAGTACAGATCAAGTGACGATAAACATAGACGTTTTTTCGGAAGATGGTAAATCGATGTATTCGAAAGAGAAAAAAAATATCACTCTATATATTCATCCGACGATATAACGTTTAGATCATAAATCTGCCAGTCAAGCATCAGCCAGTGCCCCGGTTACACCTCGAAATCTTAAAAAAAATGGGAAGGTACCTGTTCAGGCGACAAACGGTACTGCTGTCAAAAAAACGAAAGGTATTAAGCAACAAATAACTTCTGGATCCGAAGGAGAATGTCAAAATGTTATTTTCGTCGAGCCAATTATCGATGGCTCCACTCCGACTGCATTGGCTTTCAAAAAGCTCGAGCAAAGTGTAAATACTATAAAAAAAAAAAGAAAAAAAATTAATTATTATAAAAAAAAATATATATACAAATGATATTGATTATCTATTATTATCATCTTAGGTAGAAAATCTTGAGCAACGATTTGAAGCATTAGAAGAATTGTCTACTAATCCTGAATTGGTTGAACGATTGAAAGGCAATATCACAGATCCTTTAGTAGACATGTGGAATATTATTAACATGAACAAAAGACTCGATGCAGCTGAGCAAGGAATCGATAAGGTATCGAAATAAATTTTTTCCTTCCTTTCTTCCTTCCTTTTTTTTTCCTCTCTTTCATTTACCAATTATTTATTTTTTTTCATCGGCATGCATGACGATCCATTAATTGGAATTAACAATATTTTCTTGTTTTCTTTCTTGTTTATTTTTCTTTTTTTTTCTGCTTCTCTTTTTTTTTTTTTTTGCTAGCTCGCATCGATAGTCCAAGACGTAATTAAAAGTGGAACGGATCTTGAAATTGTTGGCGATCAATTAAAGGCATCGCGCGATGATAAAGAAAAAACCGATGACGATAACAATAACGTAAACATAGACAATACTATTAATGAAACAAATCAACATACACTTGGCGATGAAGAGACAACCGTGATCGATGCTCCAAATGCAGAAAATGTAGTTTCAGGTTTGAAACATATCGAAGAATTTTTTTTCTAAAATTCCAAACTCATTTCAATTAATTCTATTCTAAAATTTTATCGTTTAAAATCGATCAATCTAATTATACGCGATATTTTACTGAAGTAATTTTTCTTTTCCCTTAATTATTTTTTTCCTTTTTTTTTTTTCTTTTTTTGATCAATCATATATTCCGCAGAATTCGAATCAAAAAAGGCACCGACGATAGCTGACAAACCAAATGATTCTAAACGATTAGACGAATTAAGAGATCAAAAGATTGAAAAGTGTTTCCAAAATATTGAGGCCGTTAAAACGACGATTGACGTAGCTTTGACGAAATTAGAAGATCGCCTTCATAAATTAGAAACGAAAGAAAGAACGATTGATACGACAGCAAAGATCGATGACGAATCGGCACCAACATTGGCACCGGCCGATGATCACTCACCTGACGAGTTAGATAAAAAAAAAATTCATGTATGTTTGGAGTACCTTCAAGATTTCCAAACGACAATTGACAATACATTCATCAATATGGAGGGTCGTCTTAAAAAATTGGAGAAGGATCACGATGAGCTTACAGAAAAATTGAAAAGCGTTGCGATACCAAGCGAAACCGGTGATAGTGATCTAAACGAATTGGTATCAAAGATACAAGATATTCAAGAGGATATGAGAAAATTAAATGAAACAGCTGATCGTCTTATGGGTGATACGGAGGATCGTGAAATGAATCTAAACGTAAGGACGTATTAAATTAAAAAAAAAATTAAATAGATATTTGTTAAAATAAATAACCTTTATATATGTACACGTATAAAATTTTAGGCGATGTTAGAACAAATAGAATTGTTAAAAACGATTAAAGCTGATAAGGAAGATCTCGAAGATGCATTGGCTGATAAAGCTGACGCTTATACAGTCAACAGAAAGGTTAAAGATTTTTATATTAATCGTATATAAAAATTAAATATATATATATATATATATATATGTTTATAAATAATTAACAAAATATTTTTAATTAGGTTTCTCACGATCAATTTGATGCTGCCTGCGATGATTTAACACGTGGATTAGAGGAAGCTATAAGTAAATTAGGTAAACAGGAATCGATATGGCATCAAGCATTGGATGAAGTACAGAAAGAGATCGAAGGGAAAGTAGATAAGATTGAGATAACACCATTGAGAGAGTTTGTCAATAGTCGATTAAAGTCGCTTCAAGAGAAAATGAAACGTATGGCTGAGATGAGACGAGAAGCCGAAGCTGCTGGTACGAAAAAATTACTCAGGTGATATATTACAAACTTTCATTATTTTTTTTTTTCTTTTTACTTTTTCCTTTATCTTTAATTTTTATTATTATTATTATTATTATTATTATTATTATTATTTTTTTTTTTTTAATAGCTTAAGATTTATTTTATTTTTATGAATTAATTATTATCCATTTAATCAGAGACGTCCAATGTATATCATGTGATAAAGAGGTAGTTATGAGAACGGAAGAAACTGGCAAATTTGAGGCACCTACTATGCCTTGCACGATGAGTATGAAACCTTATCTAACTTACGAATTGGATCAAGTTAGAAAGCAGCAAAGAAGATTGCCTCATAGTAGGAACATGATTCAATTCGAGGCAGCCGTATTGGAGGAGACTAGAAAAATGAAAATATCTAAGGAAGAATCATTTGCGAAATCTCCCAGGTATTTCCTTATTCTTTTTTTTCCTTTTTTTTTTTTTTTTATTCTACCCTTAGTGATTTTAAATTAATATTATTGCTCTTTCTTTCCTTCTTACTTTTTTTCTTTTCTTTAATTTATGAAGATAATAATCTCATTTGTCAATCATCGTCAGAGATCATCTTTGCAATCGTTATTGCGGTGGAAGTCATACGATTACAACTCCCCAGCAAAGGGTTATGCGAATGGGACATTTTCTTACGCAATGGGGTCCAGAGAGTATACAATTAACAGACGGTATGATAAAAGGAACCGACGGTAAGATGTATCGAAGTCGACCATTGCCACCGAAATACGATGTCTGTGGCGGTATAGTTCCATGTCCTGCTAACGAAGTTATTACGTCTCAGGTGAAATTATGAGAAAAGAAACAAAACAAAAAAAATTGATAATAATTAATGAAAAAAAAAAAAAAAAAAAAAAAAAAGAAATTCTAATTTTTCTTCTTATTCAAAATAAATAAAACTTATTTCGATATACATCAGGAAACTTCAAGAGGTACTGGAAATATGTCTCAGCCTTGGCAAACTGCACGAAGTACATCAAGTGCCAGTAAGTCTGTAATAATAATTAATTTTTCTTCTTTCATATATGAATATTGTTCTTATGACACCTTTCTTTTTTTTCTCTTCTTTTTCTTTCCCCCTTTTTTTTTTTTCTTCCGTTTCATTTAATTTTGTTTATATAAGAAAAAGGTAATTCTGGAAGAATATCGACGAGAAAGAAAGATGTCTGTCCAGGTGTAAGTAAAATTTTTAATGAAACGAATCTTTTCAAAATTAAAGAAATTGATCAATTAATAATTAACGTGTAAATGTTTTTTTTTTTTTCCGTAGATTTCTACGGAACATGAACAAAACGTGTCGGAATCAAATCAGATCAATAAAGTTGCTCTCGAAGTGCAATCTACGACCGAGGCATAACTTTTGCAACGAGGCAAAACATTTTGCAAACATTTAAAAAAAATACGTACTTATTTATCATATAAAAAAGAAGAAAAAATAAAGAAAATAAATAAAAGTAAAATATGAAATAATTACAATTGTTTGCACCTGGATAATGGCAACACCATGAACATCGTCGATAATGTAGCTTGCTAAGTGTCGATAACTTTTACGTTCTTATATCTTAATACAACCGTGTAACGTGTGTTGCATAAGATCAGGGATAATAAAATATAATATTACCGACAGATATTAATTGATTACTCTAGAAAACATTATATAATTAAAATCTAAACAAAAACACGTGTTTCCTTCAAATTGTATTTGAAAACACTATAAAATGATCAGAGAGTACCGAAGGACTTATTAAATGTTTTATTATTAAGGAGGAATTCCAGAGTACACAAGACTAGCTAGCGAAGTCGATTTCGGAACATCGGTGGTCTGCTGCTAAAACAATTAAAAAAAAAAAAAAATAAACAAAAACAAATACAGGATCGCATTTCAAAAAACGCAATCGTACTATTATGCATATTACATCTCTCTCTCTCTCTCTCTCTCTCTCTCTCTCTCTCTCTCTCTCTTCATTTCTTTTTTTCTATTTTTTTTTTCGCGCTTTCTCTCATTTATTATTGCACATCACACACGTTTCAAAAATTCTCTTACACAAAATGGGTGTGTATACAGCAGTTTTATGGGGGCAAACGATCATTAACGCACAATTCTCCATTTCTCTCTCTCTCTCTCTCTCTATTTTTTTTTTCTTTGTTTTTTTGTTTATATTCATCAATCGCAAATCGACCTTTCCTTTCATATCGTAAACCCCCATTATCAGGGACTACTCGCTAACATTATTTTTTTTTTTCGTATTAATATATATATATAATATATATATCTATGTATATATATATATATATATATATATATATATATATATGTATATATATTATTTATGTACGCCAGATCTAAACGCTACGTCATATAAATTTCAAGGTACAGGAAGTATCTACAAAGTTTTTAATGCTACCACATACGTTACTTGTTAATTGTTTGTTTGTTATTTTGTTAATGTTGTTATTGTAGTTGTTGTTGTTGTTGTTACTGTTGTTATTGTTATTGTTGTTGTTGTTGTTACGACTACATTCCCGTTTCTTTTGTTTTCCGTTAAATGACGTTTTCTTATTTCATTACTTTTTTTTGTTTTGTTTTGTTTT